ATTTGTGATTGCCAACTCAGCGCATATTTTGAAGAGAGGGCGAGAGTGAGATGGATATGGATATGTCAACCTAGGTTAGCTAGACAAACAGTATGAGGAGCTGGACTGGCGGGGGAGATGGCTATCACAGCTTCAAGTGCAGCAAGCGTCTGCAACTTTGCATGCAAATTGCTTTATGGCCAAATGAAATTGGTTTAATAACAAATTCAATTTAAGTTTAAGCATTTTTTGATACACATACGTGAGCACACAATCATTTGTGATGTTGTGCGGGTTGGAGAGGGGGCCGGGGCCGTGTGCACTCGGCGAGACGTTGGCTTTGTGCATTTTAATTGAATTTTCCCCTTTTTGGCAGTTGGCCGTTGCCAACGTCACAAAAAATTTAAATCACGGCACGTTTCAAGTATTTTTTGCCACGCTGTTTGCTGCCACTTTTGTTGTTGTTGTTGTTGTTGTTGTTGTTGTTGCTGCTGTTGCACTTGAACAATTTTTCATAATGTGCAGCTATGAAAAGCTGGCAAAAATTAACATAAAGGCCAACTGTCCAGCTGACCCACGTTCCATGACGTTTTCCATGACACGCCCTTTGCAACGGTTTCTAATTGGGAAATTGTGTTTGCTGTGTGCGTGCGTATGTGTATGTGTGTGTGTGTGTGTGTGTGCGCTGCCCACTCAATTTGTTTGATTTTTGTTTTCTGTTTGTCTTTCTGGCTCTGACATGCCCAACATTTCACTGACCTGCCTCAAACACACAACAATCAAAATAAAAGAATTTCTCTTTTGCTTTTCACAGCACAATTTGTTGAATTTCTTGTTGTTGTTAAATTGTTGGCATTGTAGCTGCTTCTTGAGCTGTCAATTTCAAGCGTTTTGTCAAATGAAATATGAAATCTTGACGGTTCCTCAAAATGCTGATAAAGCAACGATTGGACAGTTAGACCTAAATAATGGAAATGCTGCTGGTTTTGTTATCGGAATTTGTTTGAAATCTTTGTGACATATCTTTAAATGCTATTATAAAACAAATTTGTTTAATTAAGTATGTTAGATAATACAAAGGTTTATTTATTAAACTATAATTTGAACCTTGCGAAGTAGCACAGCCCGTAAAACCTTTACGAATGCGAGCAAAAGCTTAGACCACATTTGGGAGAACAATTAACTAAGCCTCGAGTGAAGTTTTCAATATGAATAAAACTTCCATATACCCTGTAATTTAACAGGCTCAAATTGGAATGCAATACTTATACCAAAACTCTCTTATGATTAATCAGATTCAATATGAATCAAACTTGTATATGCCCTGAAACTTTCGGCAGATTAATCTGATTTTAATATGAGAAAAACTTCTATATACCCTGTAAAATGGCCTGTCTTTGTTGTTTGAGCAATAGCCAAAACTTAATCTTAATAAATTCCAATTAGAACCCATTACTTACAGCGAAACTCTCTGCTGATTAATCAGCTATACGAGTAGCTAATCAAGAAATATATGAACTATATATGCAGCTATTCAGTTCTAATGAGCATAAATAACAATCGTTCTTGAATTTCGATTATTGGCTACGCACGAGCGCTATAAATAAAGGCGACATCAGAGAAAGCAAAAATGTTGCGCATACGCCGCGTGGCGCAGTGCGGGGCATTAGATGGCCTGACATTGAACTTGCTGTTATATCGATGCCATCGAAGGCCATTTGGGGGTTCAGACACTGTTGCGGCGCATTAAATATTCATTTTGGTCGCTGGCTGCCACAACAATAAAAACGTCAGCCACGCTCCCGGGCGTCCAAACTTGTTTAATTGTTAGGCCAAATGTTCGTACAACTGGCCAAAGACACAGCTAGACAGGCTCCAGGGCGCTGTCACTGCCACAAGGGAACGTGAGCGGGGGCGGGGGCAGCATGTAATGAAGCAACATAAATCTCGCCACTAAATATATTTGCCTGGAACGAGGCCCGGCAAAGCGAGGCAATTAATCTTAGATGGCGAAGGATTTTTTTTTGCGCTCTTCTTTTTTGTCGTCTGTTTTTTTTTTTGGGGGGGGGGGGGGGGGAGGACGCTGGGCAGCACTCAACTTGCCACACACAAGTAATGGCAACATCAATGTGCATCCAAGAATCAGCCACCCCCCGCTCCCTTCCCGCTTCCTACTGGTTGTGCGTGTAAATTATAGATAAGCGCGTTAATGTTGCAGCTCCTCGTGTAAACTTTACGCCAAACTTTGCCGAAAACTTGGCCTAAAAGTGTGCCACAGCTACGATTGTCCTCCCTCCCTCCCCCTCTCTTTTTCTCTCTCTCCGAGCGCCTCTCTTCGCCGTCACGCCGGATGCCAGATACACAACTTCCGGCGTGTCCCTGCTCGGGCGCCCTTTTATCCAGTTCTCTTTGTAAATGTGTCGAAATGTTGCGTATTTCTTTCTTCTCTTTGGTTTATTTATTTGTGGTATTATTATTATTTATGCCTTCAGCGTGGCTTTAACTTGAAGTTTTCAACTTTATTTCGCACTTTCCTTTTTAGCGCATGAATTTTTGTTTTATTTTGCCACTTTCTGTGCGAAATTAGCAATTTAAATAATTTAATTACATCGTGACCAGCAATTTGTGGCGTTAATTAAAACGTGCCCCTGTCCACGTGCCACACTCAGACTCGGGGGCTTGCGGGTTTGCGGTTCGCTGCATATTTGCAGCAAATTTTTAAATTTTCATTCATTAGCAATTCGGCTTTTGAGTGTAGGCAATTTGATGCGGCCATCAGGTATTCAATTTCATTCGATCTTGTTTGCATTGCAGCTGAAAATTGATCTGATGTGTGTGTAAAATAATGTTATTGAAATGAAATAGAGCGGCAGGGCTTAAAATAACACTGGCTTGAGAACGCAAGCTTAAAGGAAAATTGTGAGCAATAACAAATAGCAAGAATAGGTAATGCGAGCAGGCGTTAGGTCGCCGGTTCAAACTCAGCAGCAATTTTAAATATTAATGTTTGCTTTATAAGTTTGTTAACCCCAGACCAAAAATTCTTAATAAATTATTAAAAAAAAAAACATAGAAAATAAAAAAAATGTTGGGTGCTAATAATAATAATTAAAAATTGTTCTATTGACATAATTATTTTGTCAGCCTTAACCAGAAAGTTAGGAATTCCTCAGAACGCGTTTGTTGACATTTGCCTTTTGCAGATATATGATATGTTTTAAAGGGTATAATAAAAGTCTTTATATAGTTTTTATTAATATTATTTTTTTTTTAAATTTTGTATTCCATTTAAACTCTGCTGTGAATGCATTTGATCAATAATAAGTATTATACAACGGTCTAATAAAGGGGAAAACTTTACAACAAAATTTGCAATTTAAATTGCACTCTTGATTAACCGAAATCAATTTATTCACGTATTTTTAGTACAACAATTGTTCGTTTCAGCTTGAAGTGACTTTTCCCAGTTGCATTTTGCTGTAAAATTAACTTGTTTTTATTGATCAGGTACTTTTAATAAAACACTTGAGTGCTTTTTCTGTGTAACAAGAATTTAAATTGTTTCTATTGAATAGCAAAAGTCTTGATAGCTGCATTTTTATGGCCTTTGGCTTGGCTGTGCTTAAATATTGCGCATACGCAGCGTTGTGCAGCCAAAGTAAATGCCTTGCATTCCAAATTATCTTATGTAACCAATTTACACAACATTCATGCTCAAAGAAATTCGATTTATGCTCCTAAATAAATTCTCACTGATTGCCAAACGTATTAATAAATCAATTTTCAATTGGCTTCAATAATTTTGCCAACTGTTTGCTGAGCACATTTAACAGAAAGCTTGTTTACGGTTTTCCAAGCGGAAATTGATTGTGTATAATTTCCAGTTGAGCTAACCAGATGAGCGACCACAAGTCCCAAACAGAAGTAAACAAACTGCAAAAGCTGAGACTAAAGTGCAGAAAACGCAGCCAAAAAGCCAAAACACGTGCCGGGGAATTTATGTAAGCCAACTTTGAGCGCAGCGCAACTGCAAACACAAGCAATATGCTTGTGCGCGACTAGCAGATATCCTGTACTCAGCGCCGAGCTTAAGATTATTAAACCTTATTCCAAAATCGATATTTATCAACAATTAACGAGCTCAGCGTAACGATTATAGCACATAAATGCTACAATTGTGTCTCCACCTAATTTAATCCTCGAGCTAATCGATATTTATCGAGAGTTAAGGAAAGGTGAAGGAATGTCGATCACAAACTACAACGACTGTGCTAAATTATATGTCATTACCTTATAAAATATCCTAGTAATTCGACAATTAAGAAAATGAAGATGAACAACTTTTTATCTCTAGCTAATATAATTCCCGATTGAATCGATAGTTATCGGGAATCAAGGAAATAGGTAGAAATATTACACAAACTACATAACTACAAATGTATGAATTTATATTCCCTCTTGCTATTAAAATCCCCGATCTAAGCGATATAGATCAGCGATTGTGGAAGGAGGGGTTGGATATCGACTTCAGCTTATTTTAATACAACAGAACAAAGCCATATTCTGCTCAGCCATTCTAGAGTCTCCAGATTTTATTACCAACAGAACTTGACTACGAAATATTGTTTCAAAATCGATTTAAATCGATTCTAAGAAAGTGAGAAGAGGCATCGTTAAAAAAAGATAAGCGCATTCTGCGTGAAAATGTATTTAAAACATTTTCAGTATCTAGCTCCTAAAGAGTTTGACATACAAATTTTTTCTCCTGTTAAATACATCCGCACAATGCGAATACACACTTTAAACACATTGTCAATGGCAACAGGGTATTTTATACCCCATTGCATTAGCGTCATGTAATGTGCCAAGTGACCAAGTGAACCCCAGACCTACTCTAAGCCCCCCCTCCCTCCACGCCCCTAGCCGCATCCCTAATATCTCTCATATACAATTGAAAAGCTTTTACACTTTGCCCCGAAATCTAATTAGGGATTTTCCGTTTTGTTTTGTTGCCTTTGCAGATGTCACATCAGCTGCAGCAGACACGTCGCCGTTTGGGCTCGGTTAGCGACTCGGCGCCACCGTCGGAGTCCAGTGAGGGCACCGCCTCCTCGGAGCAGCGGGACGAGCTGATACTGCATCCGGATTGGTCGGCACACTCGCAATCATCAGCACAGCGCAGCAGCGCCCATGGCACCACATCGCTGTATAATGCATCCGATATCGATGCGGACACCATCAGCACGGACACGAGCAGCAATACGAATCTGTCGGAGTATGAGCGCGGCCAGGTGGAGAGCTTCTTTGCCGGTCTGGGCACCGAGATCTTTGTCAGCGGCGCTCTGGCCAATCTGTACGAGGGCACTGGCAACGATGGCGACTGGCGTCTGGTATTCACCGGCATACCCGTCATACTCCACGACAAGGGCAATGCACGGGCGAGAGCCATGCCCAGGCTCACACTGGTGCTGGCCGAGCGTGGGTCATGCTTTGCTTTATGGTCGGATCGTGTCGATAATCTGTCCAATTATCGCATAGCGGGCCCCTCGTTTCACACCATGTGCCTGTCGAGCAATCATCAGCAAATGATTGGCTTCAGTTTCGATTCGACGGATGCGGCACGCGAACTCTGGCAGCATGTCGAGCGCTTGATCAGCGATCCCGAGAACATTGCCCTGTCGGCGCCCGGACGCAAACAGAAGAAACAGAAGCGCGTCAAGCCGGCTCCGCTGCCGCCCAAGTCACAGATATCGCATCCGTGCCAGTTCCATCATGTGACCAGTGTCCTCAAAGAGGATAGCGAGCGATACTACAGCATGCAGGCATTCGGGCCGGTCAATCCGCAGCAGCATCGTTGATCAGGGTCGGGCGCGTGGATCTGGAACACGAGCGCCCTCTGGTGGCAGAATTAAAGCCCCACACAACAATTTATACAAATTAAAACAAAGCTCCAGTACCCCAAAAAAAAAAATAAACAAACAAAAAAATCACCCCATATATATATAATGGTATAGTTTCTAGTTCTATTTGTATCTAATATATATATTTGTTATAGCCCGTTAGGCCTAAGTTATATGCCAATGTGCGTGCTGCACAGCTGTGTGGATCGCGCATTTATCTGTGATACCATTTAGGCGTCTATATTCCTAGACATTAGCATTCGGAATATTGGCAAAATCAAACAGAAAAATAAAAACACAAAAAAAAACATACAATATTAACAACATATATAAATAAACTAAACTAAAGGAGAAATCGATTAGTTTAAGACAATTCGAACGATAGGCGAGTTTTATAAAGTTTTCTAATAGCGTCAACATGCATCTATCTATAAAACAATATATATGCATACATATATATACATATATATACGATAAATGGTTTGTAGCTATAGCGTGTATGTTTGTATTTTGCATTTGCTGCATAGAAATTCATATAAGTCCACATGGTCACTAAGCTTGTTTTCTTAACAAAATTTTACTAACTGTTTTACATATGCATACATATAATACATATATATATATAACACATTTGGTACACATATATATATCTATGACTATTACTGATCGTATGTACATAGCTCTAAGCATTACACATTCAAAAATCAAAAACTTTGTATTTCTTAATCGTCAAATTGCATACGCAAATGTCAAAATCAAATAAAGCTGATCAAAAAAAGAATACAAAAATATTGTCTTTTTTCTTTTGTATGGTAAACTGCTTTATAAAACTTACATAATTTTCAACTAAATTTGGTTTAAATCGACTTCCTTCGAAGTTAAATTTTACTAGACTGTCATTAATTAAACGCAATTTCCATTATATTATCAACATAAAAGAAACTTCCCTCGTAGAGTAAAGCAAGAATGAATCATAATTCTGCGATTATATATTGACTTCACAATATATTTATCTCTGTTAGCCACTGCCAGAAATTTAGTTTGGTTTCACTTTTTTGGAAGAACTCAACTTTAAATATTCACCCGTTGCCCACATGCTCCCAATCATTTCCCTTTAATTGTGTCAGCAATTATAGCAACAATTACAATTACAGTTGTGATAGCAGAAAGGGTGAGAGCAAATTGAAGAGTGCCCGCATAATTAATCAAGGGACATGAAAATTGTTGGAGCTCTTGTTGTTACTTTTATTGTTGCTACTGCTGTTGTTGCTGATATTTCTGTTGTTGTTGCTACCGTAGCTGCTGTTGTTCTTACTTTTAAATGTTTTTCCTGCTGCTATTGCCGCTGTTGCTAATATGTTGCTGACGTGGCTGTTGACATTTTATTGTTGTTGCTACTGTTGTTGTTGCTGTTGCAGATGCTGTTGTTGTTGCTCTTGCTGCTGTGCTTGTTACTTCGTATTGTTGATGTTACTGTTGCTGTTGCGAATATTGTTGCTGTGGTTGGCGCCACATTTTATGGTTGTTGCTGCTGCTGCTAATGCTGGTGTTGTTGCTGTGGTTGATATGTTGATCCTGTTGCTGATGTTGTGACTTTTACTGTTGTTGCTGCTACCTGCAGCTGTAGTTGTTGCTACTCCTGTTGGTGTTGTCATTGTTGATCCTGTTATTGTTGCTGCTACTGCTGCTGTTGTTGTTATATCATATTGTTGCTGTAACTGCTACTGTAACTATTGGTGTTGCTTCTGCGCTTGCTGCTTCTTTAGCCACAATTGTTGTTGCTGCTGCTGTTACTTCTGCTACTGATTGATTGCCGCAAGTGCAATAAATGTATTTAAATCATGTGACACCAGCACAGCCAAATGTTGCTGCTGTTGCTGTTGCTGTTGGGGAGTTGTTGGCTGCAGCTGTGATTGCATGCTGGGTGAGGGTAATAGACGGAGGTTATGTAAGTGCCAGGGCAGGCCGCAATGAGCATTTATGCTAATTAAGACACATCGAGTGGCACTCCGGACCGACCTGAGGGACACGAGAGGCGAGGCGAGGTGAGGCGAACGGGGGGGCGCCGGTCAGCCACAGTGTCTGTGGCTGTATTCCACATTATGAATGTGCTTGCATTTTATGGCCGTTTTATTGTTGTTGCTGGTTTCGTGTAGATTGCCATTATTAATGCCATTATTCTGCACATTTATTACGAATATTTCGTGTTGCGACAATTTCAACAATTTAAATGTTTTCAACATTTTTTACATTTCATGTCAACGCAATTAAAAATTGTTCGCGCTTGCGGCTAGACATTAAAAAATGTTAATAATAAAAAAAGTGTAAATTGATTTTAAGCTTCTATCAAAGGGCTGACGAGCTACAACTCGGTGTAACTGGGGTTAATGAATTGCGGTTTTTGGAAAGATAAAACTGTGTAGAACAGCATGACATTAAAAATATTTAAAAACCTCTTACTAGATTTGCGCAAGCCAAACAATGCCATCGATCCCCACGTATCGAAAAAGGTTAATGATTCGAAAATCAGACTTAAGACATTAAAGATACTCCAATTAGAATGATATTTCAAAGCTTCGATTTTCGATTTTCCAAAATATTGCTACTTAGACTCGTTAATCAAAAAATTGAGAATCAAAAATATTTCATTACAGTACCAAGCCCGTCTTAACAAATATTGTAAGGTTATTTGACATTTTAATTCAAATTTTTCTAAATATCGAATTCGATTTTCTAAATTCCAATCGATAGTAGGAGCTTGGACGAGCTACAAAATTGTAGACCTTTCCAAATTCGGACTTGATTTACTCGAGATAGTCCTGAATCACACGGGTTTATAAAGGCGATATCATTTCCAAATCATAATTAATATACCTTAACATAAATCGCAAGAATTCGAGTAAATAAAATCCCTTCTTAAAAACATAAATATACATACATGTCTGTGCCTTCTCACATGCAGGTAACTTGGTCCGGGCTAAGCCTGGCATCATCAGTTAAGTATGAAATTATATATATATATATAAAAAAAATGCTCTTCACTCTCTATCTCCTTTTTAATCTATCTCCCTATCTATATCTGTCTCTAGCTCTCTATCTCTCTCTCTCTCTCTCTCTCTCTCTCTCTCTGCCTCTCTCTCTCTCTCTCTCTTCCCCCATGTACCTCTCTCTAAAACATTTCTCATTCCACAACTTAAAATTCCAAGATTCAACTTTTAATCGAAATTCTGACAACAAAGTTAACCGAAAATGACAAAAAACATAATTCGTCAGGTGCTGCACCAGTCGAAATCAGTTTAGTGCTTGCCAGAGAATGCGCCAAAATATAAGGGGGCAGGAGGGGAGGGGAGCAGGCAAGCAGTTAAGCCCGAATACGTTGCCTGCATGTTCGCTTTGAATTTGCCGATGAGCTGCAAATGCATCAAATTTATTTCCATTTGCAGCACTCAACTTACTGTTTGGCATCTGGTTTACAGTTGATGCCACATAATGTGGCATGCATGCATTTGCCATGTGTATGTGTGTGGCAGTGTGTGTGAGTGTATGTGTGGGTGTGCTGCCAACAAAGCCGCAAACATTTTTCATGATTTTAGTTGACTTGCTGTAAAACTGCGGCTTAATTGTTGCTCCAAACAATAAGCGGAAGCTTGCGGTGTGTGTTGTGCGTGTGTGTTGAGTGTGTATGTGTGTGTGTGCGTGTGTGTAGTCGTAAGTGAATTTGTGCCGAGTCGTGTAACCGAATATCTGCGAGCAAAATGTCAAAGCTGCTGTCCATACCCAAATAGACTCATGCCACATGCCGCATGCCACATGCCGCATGCCTCATCAGCATCAACAACATCTTGCGAAATCAAAATGCAAGTCAGGCGCACCACACGCACTGCTGCTGGTAATGCTGTGGCTCTCTGAGTGGGGGAAGGCTCTTTGAAAAACCATTAAATCTGCAAAAGCAAAGCGAAAGTAAAGCTAAAGGAAAACATATCCCACTTTCAAGGTGAGGCGCCTGCGAGTGTGCTTTAGTTTTTTTTAGCATGTAAACAATTTGATGTGACACCAAAGGCAACAGCACGCACACAAACACACACACACACATACAAACACACATATGTGTGCACACACATATTTGCCAAGTCCTCGACAAGCAAACGTTGATAAGAGGAGCTAAGGTCGAGATACCAATGAAAACATTGTGAAGTGTGGGAATCGTTAGCAAAAGTCAAATAATAAAAAAAAAAAAAAAATTGTGTCGCCTGGGCGATAGCTTTGCGATAGTGGAGCATATTTGGTTTTATATATTAAAAGCAACACGAGACGATAATTTCTTCAGCTGACCTTATGTGCATGCTAAAAATTAATGTTATCACCTATGAAGATAAATCAACGACATTGATTTATTGAGCACTCTTTGTTTTAAAAAACCAAGGCTATTTTTCTACAGAAAGTGTTGTGCTATCGCTAAATTGTCGTCAAGGCAGGAGGCCGAAGCGATATAAAGGTATTATATTCTATAATATCGCAATATATATTAATATATATTTTTATGGGTAACAACAGAGCTGGAGAGTAACCTTACATCAGACAATATTCATAGTCAAAGCTAAACTGTTTTGAGAATACATTTCAAAACTTGCGCCATAATTAAGCAATTAAATGTTCTACACACAATTTACAGGGTATAAGCGCTAGAGGAAGGTGTAAAAAAACCAAGCCTGAGAAAAACTTTTCAACACCAATATTACACCTTATGTATGTATTTATGTATATATGTATGTATGTGGACTTGTGTGTGCATGTAGGAAGAGGTGTGTGCATGCATGTACATACATGCATACACATGTGCATCTGTGCATACACATACATGCGCATATATAAATTTCTATGGCAAATCCATTTGACACTGACGTTGGTTGGCCTACATCCCAGATGCCACGCCCCATTCTGAACAGTCAGTTTTGACACGTTCGAAAGTGATTCAATGGCGTCCAAAGCCTGAACATGACACAACAGCTGGTTGGCCAGGGACAGGAGCCAAGGGTCAGAGAACAGAGCACCTAGCACAGAGAACTGGAAATTGCATATGAGTTTGAGCAGATGTTGAAATATGCAAACTGTCAACATTTAAACTGGAATTAGGCGGATTGGAACAGAACGTGTCCATATTTCTATTTGTATATACATACATGTTGATATATGTTAAATAAATGTTATATCCGTGTGCTTGTTGTACAAGCATTCGGACATGCAATGCCAATTATCCGTATTCCCGTTCCGGGCAAACGGCAGCTCCATCAAAGTATCCACAATTTTTGAAAGTGGCCTTTCAATTAATTATATTAACTGATTTGCCAAAATTATTGTACTTCAGTTTGGTTAGCCGCAAGAAGAGGTAGCAGGAGGAGGAGAAGGAGGATGTGGAGGAGGAGGAACCGAATTCTAGATCGGATCGGATTCCTATATCTTAAGGCTATCATAGTAAAGGTCGGTAAACATTAGGTGCCTTTTTTTTCAATATATCTTGCTTTTATGAGTTTCACCATCAGCAAAATCTCATCCACTTCCTACTACGGTTGAACAATTATTGTTTATATGTTTCATATCTTACTTACATATCTACATAAACAGATAAAATCATACTTCTACATCTTCTCTATATATAAAACTACTAACAGCTTTGAAGCCTAAATTTTCACTTACCTTATATGATGATGGTCCAAGTAAAGACGGGTTTTCGGAAAATTGAATCCGGGAAATTGCATCACTTGGTTGAATTTATTTCCAAAGATCTGTACGAAAAATTATTTAAGGCATGTTTAACACTTTTCACAGAATCCAAGCGTAAAGCCATACATACATACATACATACATACATACATACATACATACATACATACATACATACATACATACATACATACATACATACATACATACATACATACATACATACATACATACATACATACATACATACATACATACATACATACATACATACATACATACATACATACATACATACATACATACATACATACATACATACATACATACATACATACATACATACATACATACATACATACATACATACATACATACATACATACATACATACATACATACATACATACATACATACATACATACATACATACATACATACATACATACATACATACATACATACATACATACATACATACATACATACATACATACATACATACATACATACATACATACATACATACATACATACATACATACATACATACATACATACATACATACATACATACATACATACATACATACATACATACATACATACATACATACATACATACATACATACAGACACACGTACATACGTACACACAAAATCCAAAAAAAAACACCAAAAAAAAAAACACCAAAAAAAACACCAAAAAAAAACACCAAAAAAAAAACACCAAAAAAAAAACACCAAAAAAAAAACACCAAAAAAAAAATCACCAAAAAAAAACACCAAAAAAAAAACACTACACTACCAGCTAAGCATGAAAAACTGCAGGGCCTACTTAAATTCTTGAGAATCGAGGAGAAGAGCACTTGGTAGAATTTCGTTTTATTTAAATTTACAGCACAGCGACAAGTAAACTTGGTCTGCGTCTGGGTATTAGAAAACAAATATGAATGCATATATATATATATATGCATATATATGTGACATACACCCACACATACACACACATACATACACATACAAACACACACGCACCCAAACACCCAGCCGTAAGGCAAGCGTCCTATAGATATTTTCTCGGCTATCTATATATGTATGGCAACGGAAGCAGCACATATATATATATATATATATATATATATATATATGTACATATATATATATATGTATATGTATATATATATGTATATTTATCGGTCAAAACTCATCCGTTTTCACGCGGTATCTAAATCTGGCAAAATTATTTTTGTTTTAAAGTATATATAAACATATACATTGATCAATAAAAAAATTAAAATGGAGAATATCGAAAGATTATTTAAGAAGTCTTTAGGAATCAAGCAAAATGTACAAAAATACTTTTGTATATGTTGATTTTAAATTGGAAAACTAATTTCACAGCAGATCAGGCAAGAGTCAAGAGCCAAGAGCCAAAGCCAAGAGCTCGTTTGCCAGCTATCCCAAAGAATTTTGCCGCACCTGAGTGCCTTTAGCTCTAATGGGCGAATCTCCGCATGTTGCACACACAACACACACACACACACACGAGAGATCATAAGTCGCATTTGCGAAAAGGAGACGCAGATCAAAGAGCAAAACCTGTTATGAAGGGGTGTTGTGCTTGGGAGCTGCAACGAGTATGTGGCAAGATCGGCAAACGAGCCCACATATGTGTCCGCCAGACTTGTGGCAGGCTGGGGCTGGCATGCTTTTTGCTAGCATGGCGACCGCGACCGCGACTGCGACTGGGTTCTGACCGAGTGCATTGAATCTGGCGTTCCCCCTTGCCCTTTGGCTGTCTGCCAGCAGCCAGTCAAGCGGGTCGATCTCTTGCCACAACGCGTTGCGGGGCGTCAGGTTCATTGCACCGCCGTCTGGTGGCAATGTCTGTGCGGCACTCCGCGCTCACGTGTCGTTTGTCTGTACAAAACGTTCAACTCCGACGTTTAACATGCAAAATTATGCATCTTGATTGGCGGCTCATTTCAAAAAAATATGAAAAAAATATGAAAATCCTGCACTTTTGTTGCGCTTTTGATTAATTGCAGATTTGGTAGCGCCATCGCAATTGTCCGTCTCGATGAACCCAAAAACTGGTTGCGTGTCGCCGTTGATTTATTTTCCCATTTGACAGCTGTGAAAATTGACAATGAAAATGCGTTTCCTCTTTGCATAAGCGCAGCAGCTGCGTGGGTGGGAAACTTGGCTAAAATGCAGCACAAATTCATTTTTGAATTTAACGGCTGAGTGCCATAGCTGGAAGCTGTTGCATGAGTCACTTGTTGCACGCGCATTTACCACAGACACAACTCATTACCTGTAGCGCCATCTATTAACTGTTTTTGGGTGTGTGAACATAAGATATGATAGGATATTCGCATTCCAGCATTCCAGCGTCTGCGGTGGTGAGTAGCTTAGGTAAAATGCAGCATTCAACGACTGCGTTTCATAGCTGGCAGCTGCTGCATGAGTCACTTGGTCCTTGCGCACTTAGCATAGACACAGGCCATTAGCTGTATCGCCATCTTTTGACTGTTTTTGGGTGCGTGAATCTAATGTATGAGGGGAAAACCCGGATTATTAATATGGTATATTCGACTTATATCTCCAAGATTGATTGAAAACCAAAAAGTTGATTGGAACATATCCGAATATGGAATACCGAGCACATCCAGTACTAACAGTACTTGCTCTTAAAGTCGTAGTCCTCGTCGCAGCTGCCTCCGGAATTATTGGCCAGCAGCTGATCCTTGCAGCCGTGATGCAAGCGATGCACATCCGAGTCAAAGCACTCGTCATGCAAGCGTTTGTCGCGACTTTTGCTGCGCTGCCTCTGATGTCGCCCATGGAGGTGCTGGTGCGAGTAGGCGTGCCCGTGAGCATGGCTGTGAAGATGGCTGTCCGTGGTGGGGCTGAGTTCACGGGGCGGGCGGCAGTGACTGGTGGGCGGCACAGGATCATCGTAACGCGGGCAAGGATGATCGCCGACGGGCGAGGCAGTCTCATAGCGCTTGGACAGCAGCGTGAACTCCTGATGGGCCGAGCACAGAGCCTGCAGGCGATGCAGCAGATCCGTTTCGGGCAGATCCCGCAAATGCAAGGTGCGCGCAACCGAAGTGCGGAAGGACTGCAAATGCGAGAGGCGTTGATTAGTGTCGGAGAGCTGGGCGCTAAGGCGGCTGACGTCATCACGCAGCGACTAGCAGGGGCACAAAGAAGGATTAAGAAATGAATTATAGAAATGGGTATATAAGTGAGTCACTTGGATATTATTGGGTATCACAATTACCAACTCACATTGATTAGCGCCTCGTCGCGACAGCGTCGATTTTGATTGGACTCGCAGGCGGATTTCATGCGCTCCTTCATCGCATTCAGCTGGGACAACAGCCTGGTCTTCTCATCTTCCAGATCGCAGATTTGTGTGCTCAACTCATCGATCTTGCGGGCACGCTCCAGCGCCGTGATCTTATATTCCACGGCCTCAGCGAGCTGGGCCTTGACCTCGGCGATTTGGGTGCGTGCATCCGCGAGCTGAACACTCAGCTTGTCGACCTGCTTGGCTGCCTTTTTAGCACGGCAAACGGCCTCGTCGCGCTCACCCTGCAGCATGCACTTACCCCGAGCCCCATCCTCGATGATGGCCAGCTTGCGGCGCAGCAGCTCCAGATGCAGATCTCGGCGCTGCACCTGCTCGCGTAAAACACGTACTCGACGCTGCAAAGTGTACACGCTGCTGCTCTCCTTGAGCGGCAGATCATGGCAGGAGCGCTCGCGTCGCAGCTTGCCCTGCCCATGCTGATGGTGATGATGATGATGATGCGGATGATGATGATGGTCGCAGCAGCCCTTCTCCTGGCTAACCACAGCCAGCTCGTGCTCACAGTGCGCGGCCAGACGCTCGGCACGCTCCAGCAGACTCTCCGCCATGAGATTGGTATCGGTGCCCAGGGCGGGCGGCGCGGTGCACTCGCTCCAGTTGAGCGCATTGGCCAGCCGTTGCAGGTAGTCGGCCAGGCCCATGTGATCCTTGCGCAGCGTGTGAATTTCTGCATGGCATTTCTCCAGGCGCTCGGCCAGCTCGCATTTTTGGGCTTCACCAGAGCGGAGACGGCACTCGCTGGACTCGTGTGCCTCCTTCAATTTCTCATGCTCGCTGCTCAGCTGAGCGCGCAGCGAGTGCAGTTGCTGCAGAGGAAAGGAAGCGAGAAAGTTAGAGAGTAAGCCAAGCGGAATTCGAATAGTTACTTACCGCCTGCAGGCCCTGATTCTCGTCGAGCAGCTCGCGCAGCTTGTCCTTGATCAACGTCTCGCAGGGCTCGGACACATTCACCAGATGGCTGAGACCGCGCAGAAACTGGAGCCGATCGCTCTGGATGCGATCCAAATTGTTCTGCAACCGATGACAGCGCGACTCGAAGCCGCGCAGCTCCTCCTTGAGCTTCTCGCCGCTGATCTCCGACTCGGTAAGACGATCCCGCTGCAATTGCAAGTCCCGTTCGTACTGGCGGCAACGCCCCTCCAGCTCGTGATTGTGATTGCCGGCGCCGTCCAGTTGGGCACTCAGACGCTGCTTCTCGATGTTCGCCAGCGACTTCAGGTTGAGCAGTTCGTTCTCGCAGGAGCTGAGCGTGTCGCAGGTGGACTGCACCTTGGCCTTAGCGCGCTGCAGCTCGAGCATCAGCTCCTCCACTCGGGACACCACACACTCAGGCGTGGCATGTCCGTCCTGGCTCTCGCACACATCCAGGCCCAGGCAGGCGCTCAGGCGGCGCAGAAGCTCGTGCAGCTGCGCCTTGGCCTGCTCCTTGTGCGACTGCTCGCTGGCGGCGTGCTGCTCCAGCTGCTGCAGCTTGCACAACAGCTCCTTGTTGCGCTCATCCGAGCTGCGCTTCTCACGCTGTACAGTCTGTATGGTGGCATCGCAGCGCGCCTGAACCGACTGCTCCCGCTGCTCGGCTGACTGCAGGCGGCTCTGTAGGGAGGCTATCAATGCCGTCTGGCGTGCCGCCTGCGCACGCAGATTCTCCACATCCGATTCGCGACTACACAAGGCGCTGCGTGTCTCTGCCAGCTAAAGAATTTGATGAGATTAAAGCCGGCTGTAGGCTAACCTCTGCTAAATCTTAATGCTTACCTCGCCAGTGAGACGCTCCTTTTTGTATGACAAGGCGGCCAATTCACTGCGCAACGTCGTCGTCAAATCGATCCCATGATGATGCTCGGTAACTGTGATCCCCGCATTGCCGCACGAACTGTCCAGCTGAAAGACAGAGAGCACAGCTTGAGTCTTACTCGGAAGAAGCAGCTACCCATCCGACAAATGATGGCTCGCGTTTTCTTCCCAAATGGTTGGCTTCATACTTGTGTCCGGTTCTTTTATTTGTTAAGTGTTAAGTAATAAAAGGGTTTCACATAGATTTATTAAAGACTTGTTCCTAAGACAACTAATGGGAATGTTTTCAGCTAATATAAACTGTGTTGAAATAATGAAATAATCATTGTTCTGATTTCATCCGTCGAATTCCAAATATTCCTATCTAGAAACGAAGCGAAGCTAATCTCGCTAACTAGCAGACTTTAAGTTTTGTCCAGAGACAATTGGGAAATGAAAGTTCACTCTCAACTGAATAGCTCAAACTTCCTTATATGCTCTGCTCTGATATCGTACCAAATGATGATGATGCGGAGACAGTCCACCACTGAGACCCAGATGATGGTGATGCAGATGATTATCACTGGGCATATTTTGCACGACTTCTAAATTGATATGCCTTTTGCTATAATCCAAGCGAACCGTTCAATGAAAGCGCTCGACAGCAACTAAACCCGCTGACAGGATTTCCTGGTGCAAGCGATGCGGCATTGACAACAGCCTAACAACTGGGAATTTACCTCAACATAACATCACACCAGATATATAACTATAAGGCTTGTGATTTATGCTCGAGCCAGGTCGAACGGTTCAGCAGGGTGGCGACATAAGTGAAAACGAGCTCAATGGCATTGCGAGGGGCAAATCCAGGGAGTTCGTAGAACGGCCACCAAACCAAAGCCTTTGCACATTCCAAACTTTTTTCAGTTTATTTTCCATTATTTGGGTCATTCACATGGCAAATGCAATTCAAGCAAATCAACGCACGCACGCAAGCTGAGATAGGGAAGAGCTCCTTCCTATATACTTATATATATAGAGAGAAAGAGAGAGAGGGGGAGCTCGGAACACAGTGTAAAATGGTTCTAGCTCTGTAAAGTTTTTTGTGGTACTTTTTTCCAAGCGGAAACGGAAACTGAGGTGTGCAGGTTTTGGCTTGGCTTGCACTTTGTAAACTTGTCTGCGTTTTGGATAGAACAGTAGGTGAAGAAAAATATTAAGAAAGAAAATGATTTGAGAATAAAATAAAATTTAAGTTCTAGCTGCGAATGGTTTTTATTTTGCTTAAGTTTAGAGAGAAAGCTGTTAAAATAAAAAAGAGAGCGTTTTGAGAATGAGAGAATTCTACATTTGCCAATCTCAGCTCTTGTTAATTAAGATTTAAGACTTAAGATTTATTTAATTAGCGACCTATTTCGTAAGCCACAGCTAAAAATTGTTTTGATTTCCAACCACTGTGCAGCTATATTTTATGCAAATCGCTTTGAATCATCGATAGTTGCCCAGGCCCAAAACACAACAACAACAATAAAAAACTTTTTCAGCCCTAACAACCGCATAAATTTCACACCAAAACAACAAACGAACAGAAAACCAAAAAAAAGCCTGGTATTAAGCTCCTAATTGGTTGCAACCGACTGCTTTATACTCTGTTCACAGCATTAAAACATATGTAATTAGTAGAAAATAAGCTACTTGATTATTTGATTTTGGGACTTTAAAACTGTAACTCTCAGTGACCTTAAAACTGTGACTTAAGGAGCTGACGTTTATTGTACTTTGTGAACCTAATATTTTCAGAATCTTTAAAATTTCTAATAGATGTAAATCTTTTGAAATTGTAATAATACAATTTAAACAATTTATCTGCTTTGAAAAAATTACCCTAAAATCGAAGAACATATTTTTAAGCAATTTTAAAGCTATGGATATTTTTTCCAATTAAACCATTTTCTTACAGTTTTCTCGAAAGCGTGTTTTTAAGCTTTCAAGTCACAAGACAAATATTTAACAAAATCAATATACTCTTCTTAATTTTGTGTAGAGAGTATAGAAAGTGGTAGCAAAAAGTTTTGCTCGTTGATAAGGCGGCACTACGAATATGTGCATACCTCGCTCGCATTTGGCAAGGAAATTACATTAAACGCATAGCCATATGCATTTATATATCAGATGGTTTTATTACTCAGTTATGTTTTTCGTGGAATAATGGCAATTTGTCACATGATTTTAGGCAAATAACATGGCCAAATAGCGTCACATTAAAGTCAGGCAAAGATATCGCCACAACTTACCAGAGCGCAGGAGTGTACAACGGTTGTCAATGGAGTTGGAGCTGGAGCTGGAGCTGGAGCTGGTGGCGACATTGGCAATGAGCCAGACTCAGACGATGACTTTTCACAAAGAAGCTCAAAGACATGCCAATCCTCGGGTGTATTGCCATCCGTGTCGGGCCGCAGATTCGCCGGCATTACGACTACAAAAAAAGCTAAAGAAATATTTTATGTTCAAAACGACGCCCGAGTTTCTAGCTGCTTTTCGACCGTGTAGAATTTCTACTATTCTCTCTATTTGCCTGGCAACAGTCTAATGCTCGAAAGGCTATGCGCCTACCAGTTGCCAGGCGCATAAATAACGATACATAAGACCCCAAAAATGGGCGGGGCCTCTAAACACGTGGGCGTTACTAGGGCAATGCACAGCCCGAATCAAGTGGAGTCTATGCGCTTCTAAGCGCAATCTAGCTAATATAACAGGCGCGCTCTAGACAAGAGTGGCCGACTGGCAGATACCCTCTAAACATTTTAGACTTCTTTTTGCAACATCCTACACCAATTCGGTCAAGGGTGGTTGCCCTTCCTAAATAACTTTAATGCTAAAGTTCACCTACATACTAAATTCTCTCTCTCTCCGTTTCTCTCACTCTCCCTCTTTCACTCTCTCTCTCTGTCTCTGAAAATGAGACAAACTGAATAAAATAATTCAATATAGCACTTTTCACAATCGATCTAATACTTTCCAACGATCGTTGATTTTATTGTATACCCCTGATAATACCCCTGCCTCTGCAAATCGAATGAGTACAGGGTATAAGCACGCACAACAATTTCGCTGTTTTGACAAATGCATTTGGTAAATGTTTGCACAAAGTTCTTTGGCTTGACTTTGATTTTGATGTGGGAGTAAACGACGATGAATCCCTTTTTTTGGCCAATTTGTGTTGAAGTTCTATTTTTGGGGGTTCCGCGGCCTGAGAATTTGAACTTTATTCCTGTTATGGGTTTGTTTTGGTTGCCAACACAGGGTTTTTTTTTGTAGCTTATTGTTCTTGTCATTGCTAAGAGACTTGAAATTTGAATGAATATTACTTCTTTTTCTTTTTCTTGTTCTTGCCGGGCGAAACACCTCTTCCGGTCGATAATTTACTCTTTCGGGAGCCCAGCTAATTAATTAATGGGACAAATATAAATTACTTATAAAATAGTATGCAAAGAGTATACTAATAAAATAGTATGCTAAATGAATAAACAGTTGCAACCCTTACCGATCTTGTGGAGCGGCGCGTCTTGGAACGAGCTTGTAGTCCTTCCTCTTCGCTAACCAGCGCAAGTACCTCCAAGACTCGGGCTTTGAACATTTCCACTTGTTCCTTATAAAACTTGAGATCATCCTTGGCCTTAATCCATAGATTACGCGTTATATTGCACTCCAGCTCGGCCGCCTCCAAATCCGTGTCGAGCTTCTCCTGCCATGTGGCAATTGCCGCCCTATAGCTGTCTATCTGATATTGGTATACGAAATCGACGTACCCAAATGTCTCTTGATTATGTTTTATTTCATTCAGCAGGTCATTTATCTCATCCAGATAGACGTTCTCCTTGGACTGCAACCACATCTGATGCTGATCCCCACAGCTGCGCAGCCAATTCACCCGATATCGCATCTCTATAAGCATTATAGCTGAAATAATAATGATATATTAGTAATTTTCAGTAATTTTTAATATCAAATATAAAATAGTCCACAACTCACCATCAGCTTTGTCATTTTCGGCCACCATTCGGGAACCGAACTGCGACTCCAAGCGAAATGAGCTTCCATGAGAAATTGCAGTCAAATTCCTACGAGTAGCGCGCAGTTGTTCCAGTTCCGCTACCCAGCTTGAGTTCACCTCATAGTTCGATTGGCTAAATTCATAGGGAATTGGAAATACATATATGTATCAGTTAGATAATGTAAGACGGAATACTCAAACCTAGGTTTGCTACTAACCAAATATTCGGGATGCTAAGAGTAATCTAATCATGATTGCCCGACTCGAAGATACCCCAAAAATACTTAACATTTGAGTTTCTACCTCAAAGAATATTGACGCTTTGCCCAAAACCAGGAATTCGATATCGATTTCTGATAAACGGACCTACGTTCAAACTTCTTAAGTCTCTGGGATTACCCGTGCGCACAGATGAACGAACTACCTATACGGCATATCTAGATCTATTCGAAATACTCTTGATGAATTTGCAGTCATTTACAAGCAACAACCAACCATCAACCCAGGCCACTTACTTCAATAGCTCTAGAGAGCTTGTGCAAATATCTTTATCCGTACAAAAGTCCAACCTGATAGCTTCGAGAAGGCGTATAATTTCCTTAATGTCAATACAAAATTTTGCACAATCCAAATCATGTTTTGTCCTCTCCATGGCTAGCACTTCCAGATATAGTTGGTTGATTTTGATGCGGGGCAAGAAATGCTCGAAAGACCAGTGGAAGAGCTTGTGCGGTATTTCGTCGACTTCACCTGGCCATATACTTAGGATCGTGTCAATTTGTTTTCTCAGCCGAACCGAGAGAAATTCGATGGCTGCCTTTTGAAACTGATAGAGACACGCCTTGTACAGCACCTGTAAGTCTTCCCATGTAAGCAATGGTCGGAATTCAGTTACATTCTCAATTAGAGTGGTAGTTCGATGTCCTTGCAGCATCCTCATTATGGCCATTCCCTCCGCCGTTACTGACGTGTGATGATATTGAACGGATGACTTCCTGAGAGACGCATATTCCCTGTGTTCAATACTTTCAAAGGGTTTCAGTAGTGTCTTAAGAAATTGATCGCGACAGATGGCCGGATCCTTATGCGGTGGCAAGGGAAACGGAATAGGATGGCCGGCTAGATTTTTACCGAATTCCTCCGAATCACTGCTTAAATCATCAACATCCATTTTGTTTATTTGGATATATGTGTTTTCAGTGTTTGTGTTAATTTGTTTGAAAATTAGTACATTTTATGTTTAAGAAACAACTCTCTGTGCTGTTATAAAGTCTGATGTTTGTCTTAAAGCTAATTAGATTACTGAGTATGGAAATGAAAATCAAAGTAAAGCGAGTAATTTAATGCATAGATGTTTCCTCATCAAGTCGGATATCAGCTGTGAAAGACTTCGACCTTGACTTCCTTATATAAACTTCCGAAATAGATTTGTTTCGATTTTGAGCTAGTATCAATAGCAATACGAAATCGAGAGAATAAGCTAATGAAAACTAAAAACTAAAAAGATGTTTAAAGGTGAAAAACGATAATTTCAAAGACTACGAACTGAGCTAGAATTGAGAGAACTAAATAGTCTGGCAACGCTGTTGGGCAATGCTGCCAGAAAATGAGTTTCTTTTCGTATAACCCAAGAATAGTTTTTGTACACTTCCGGTGAAAAGAACGTCTGGCCAGCGCTCATGTTGCCCCAATGCCAGGGCTATAAATAAAAGTCCCTCAGCGCAGCAGATAGAGAGAGCAAAGGGCTGGCGACCCGGTTTTCGCTTGTTTGTGCGGGGTTGGGGGGCTGGTTGCCTGGGCCTGGGCTGCCGCAGTGTCTGGCGATGGTTGCCTGCTGCACATTGCTGCTGGCCTGTTGCAGTTTCTAATCGAATCGAAACCTTTTACCCAAATGTTGCCTACGGCCGGGCCGCTAAGTTGGGGACGGCCCTTTGTTAGCTAAAAACGTATCATGATCCATTTATGTACATATGCATGTGTGTGTGTGTGCAGGGCTCGCAATTATGATTATTTACGTGGTGTGTGTGTGAGCGTGCCACATGCAACACACAGCTTGCAACATGCTTATTTCTTGCCTACTAACAATGCTGTTCGCCCGTTCGAATTTGTTCTGTTAAAATCTGTGCGCTGCTTTGACAGTGCCGCAAAATGTTGCACAGCAGCAGCAGCGGCAACAGCGGCGGCAGCAGCAACAGCATCAAGCACCATTGTGTATGTTTTCATATGGCTATCTCGCTCTCCCGCGAGCCCTTTGAAAGCACGAGTATCGAAAGACAAACTCTGCCTGGTGCAGGCCAACATGCACCAACCCTCTCGTCCCTGCTCCCTCGTCCACGATTCAACATAACCCGACACTTTGCTATGCCAGCTGCCAGCTGCCAGCTGCTAGGGCGAGGGATATACACACACACACACACACACACCCAAACATGCAAGCAATCATATATATGTATGTATATATGTTAATGCTGCGGCTGGCTATGTTGCTGTCCCTCACATACATACGTACGTGTGTCGTATTCTGTTCTGTTCTTTTCTGTTGCTGGTTCTGTTTGTGATTTGTGCTGCTGCCGCCGCTGCTGTTGCTGCTGCTGGTCGCCTGTTCGAGCGCACCATCGAAATTTCACATGTAATTCCCACGGCCTGAATTTTCCCACACAAAGCGAAGAAGAGGAAGCGAAATTCAACAACAAAGCGACATACGGGCGATTGGGACAGACAAGAGCAGCACACAACACACACACACACACACACACATGAACACAACACAGATACACGCACACAGCAGCACTTTTTTTTTATTGCATTCAATGTGGTCCCAGGGTCGCTGGTCGCTAATCGGCTCGTCTCCTTCTTCACACATACACACAAGCACACACACACACACACACACGCGCGTATATTGTTTCGTTATTTCGTTTTGACATTTTTTACTTTGAGCCGCATTTTTTTTTCGACAGGGATGCAAGCGCAGATGCATATGTATGTATGTAAATTTAAATTTAAATTGCATACATACATTCATTATGTTTTAATAACACATTTCCATTTAGAACTCTTGACAATTTCTAATTGAATAAACAAATAATGTTCCTAACATAAATGCGAACTGACTTGGAACTAAACTGGTTCCATTCTGGAATCCCTAGTTTTGAATTACCATTAAACCAGCCTACATAAACGAACATCTTTAAAAACGGATTTTATGGAACTATATTAAAATTATTCGTTTGTTTTAAACTTATTTAAATGAAGAAAAACATACATACATACATATGTATAATAATTGCAGCTTTTCAAATTAGAAAAATATGCATGTATGTATGCAGCTGATCAAGGTTCAAATCCAAACCTAGATTTATAGTTGGGCAACCGAACTTTAAGGAGAGGCATAATATTGGCTCGAGTCTACCGAATATGTCATATAAAAAGTTCTAAAAATCAACATATCATGTGCTAAAATGCTTAATAATTTCTATCCTACATACTCTTCATACTTCAACTGGTTCGTGTTCCTTTTTAAATTTCACATAACTTTCTGAGGGAACGACCTCCTGTTGCAATTTTGGGCACAGTGGTCCGAGCACTTTTGAAAAACTAATTAAATTAAACTTTAAACACTCTT